CTCCTGCCAGGTTCGCTCACGACTCCGCCTCTGAGGCTTTCACTTGGGCCCTTTCCTTCTAGCAGCTTATTTTCTACAAAAAAACCCAACTTGTTCCATCCCCCTGCCCACCCGACGCTTACCTTCTGAGCTTGGGTAGTGCTTATGGGGGGGGGGGTTAAGAAAATATTTGGGGGAGGAAGAGGGCGAGTGTTTTGGCCCCTCTTTCTTGTCCTTTGGGGTGAACCGAAGGGCCTCATCCATGAGGTTAGATCACTACCATCTTGCCTCGGATAAGGCTTTTTTTGCGTGTTAAAGGGAAAGGTGATTTTCGCATTTTAAAACCGGTATTGATTTCCAAACCGAACTAATTTTAACAAACGTGAAATTGAGGGTAAAAGTCATATTAGAAAATATTTGAGAAATGAGTTCAAAAGTCTATAACCATGCAGATTTTTAAAAATTAGGAGTTCATTATAAATCGAAGAGAAATGAGGGGGATGGTAAGAAAGTGAATGTTAAACCCAGTCTATCAGATTTGATACGAGAGTTATTAACTGCTTTTTTATTGCAGACTCAGTGTAACCTGAAGACTGAAATTGGAATGTCAGATTTTCCATTTTGGGGTGGTAGGGACCGGACCAGTGGTATGCAATAAAAGTGAACACATGCACATATGTGTTTAGTGTTTAATCCTAAGGATTTGGAGCAGTTTAAAAACTGTTAGGAGCTATATTAACATTTTTAGCATTAGACCTTTTTCAAAAGATGAGAAAGAATTACCTTATTATGGATGCATAATGCAATATTACTGAAAAATTTGCATTTTATGGGTCAGGCTAATATACTCCTGCAGATCTCTCTACATTATAGAAGCAGTCCTTGAACCATTCAAGGTGGTATTCCTCAAAATATGCTTATCCTGGAAAGGAATAAAAAGGGGAAACTTAAGGCTTAGCAGTTCTGACTGTGTAAGCAGTTTGGGATGAGCCATGTTCCGTGTGTGGCCTGTTCATAATACTATTACTTTGACATGCATAATGCTATTAACTAAGAAAACTTGAGAATACTTTTGAAATATGTGTGTAGCATATTGAGATGGGTTTTTATGACAAACCTATACTGAGGAACAGCTTTTTATCCAGGAGGGGGCGCAAGAGAAGACCAAATATGTTGAGTAATTTCAGTTTCTAATCCAAAAGCTAGATTTATCAGGACTAAAGTTTTGCTGAGTACACTTGGAAGTAGTGTTGGCATGACAGCCCTAAATGATAAGAGCACTAGGAATCCTTTAATTTCTTGTATTCTATAACATTATTTTTTTTTTAAATAAGCTTTATTTTTTTTATTTTTATTTTTTTGAATTGGAGTCTCACTCTATCACCCAGACTGGAGTACAATGGCTGCTCCTGGCCACCGCAGCCTCGACCTGCTGGGCTCCGGTGATCCTTCCGCCTCAGCCTTCCAAGTAGCTGGAACTACAGGCGTGCGCTGCCACGCCTGGCTAATTTTTAATTTGTTGTAGAGATGAGGTCTCAGCAAGTTATCCAGGTGGGTCTCGAACCCGCAGGCTCAAGCAATCCACTCACCTCAGCCTCCCAAAGTGCTGGGATTACAGGCTGAGCCACCGAGCCCAGCCTAATACTTAAGCTTTAAAAAGAAAACTTTCTGGCATACTTGTTACATCCCAACAGGGTTGTCATGGGAAAAATTGTTACTAAAACTTGAGTTGGAAGTATAGTGGCTTCTGAGCTGGTTTTTTTCCCCCATTTTTTGGTATTTTTTGTTTTTTGTTTTGGTTTCTGAGCTACTAAATAGTAATAGGAAAAATTATTCTAGTTCACTTAAAAGTCTTTGCTTGGCTCAGCTTAGAGATTGGGTTGTTTTTGCCATTTAAGGTTGTTTACCTTTGAGATCTGAAAAGTTATAACTAATGAGCCTGAGGGTACAAACCTTTATTTAACCTGTTAGCATGTTAAATGATATAGGCAGTTCTTGTCTTTGGTCCAGGGTTACATAAAGGTGAAGTTATGTCTGTTAAAAATGTTGAAAGCCTTTATTTAGTAACTTTCTGCCTTCCTCAATAAAAAATAACCTTTTAAGAAAACATCCTACGCCAGGCTTGGTGGCTCAGCCTGTAATCCCGCGCCTTTGGGAGGCTGAGGTGAGTGGATTGCCTGAGCCCACGGGTTCAAGACCCATCTGGGCAACGAGACCTCATCTCTACAATAAATCAAAAAATCAGCCAGGCGTGGTAGCGCATGCCTGTAATTCCGGCTACTTGGAAGGCTGAGGTGGAAGGATCGTCGGAGCCCAGCAGGTCAAGGCTG